AACTCCAGCAACGGTGGTGCTCAACTTCAGGTTCACGCCTTGCCCGACGTGAGCTCCTATGCCTGCCAAATCTGCGGCGCAACCCGCTTGAACTGGCTTCTGTGTCAGTTTGCTCAATTGTAGTCTGCTCAGTCAACGAAAATCTCGGCCTGGATTCCCCCCCTCCATGACCGAACCCACCACAATCCAATGGCAAATGCTGCAAACATGAAAAGCCACGTAAGCATTCCAGCCAAGCTGAAAACTGCTAACCTGTCCTCAGTCGGCTGCGCATCTGCTCCTCGAATGTTGCACAAAATCACAGCTGCCGCAACGCCAACTGCGGCACAAGACTTCGAAACCTCGGAGCATCAAATTCCTTTGTTCCAATGTCACTCCAGTTGAAGGCCGTGTCCACAACCTCAACCTCAAGCTGCTTCTCCCGAACAGCCTGCTCAATCCACAGGCGTTTCATCGAAAGATGCTTCACCTTGCCACTTCCTTGGCGGTTGGCCATTCCTCTGGCCTTGAGTCTGAAAGCTTGTGATCATAGCCCAGAAAGTTCAAAATCTGACTCACCTGCAATCCACACCCCGCACCTCTGACAAGTGCGTAAAACTCGGATTCTCCTGAACTCAAAGCAATGAAAGATTGCTTAGCACATGATGAGTCCAGCAAATGTTTACCATACTTGATGCACATTGCATTGCGGAAATTGAGCGCCTCGTTGTATACCTCAAGTCGTGGTGGCACACTCTGATAGCTGTACAAGTATGTCTCCTTCAATATAGCGTCCCAATGCAGAGTTGTAGGAGAATGCATTCCTTCCACCACCTGTGAAACTGCGAATTGTATACTCGGACGATCCAAGACAGGTACAACAAGGTACCAGCCAATCGTCGAAGCTTAGCCGTGTCCTGTGCATTCAAAGGTTCATCTCTGTCTCGGACTCCTTCTCCTGTCGCTTTCGATGCTGGGTTTCAACTCCAGCTGTAACAGCAAGTCCCAGTTCATCCCAAGTGAATCCATCCGGAGTCCACCTGATCATCCTGCCATTATGGGCTCACTCTTTGGCAAGCCTACCCACCAGCTTGTCCAGCTTCTTCAGGTCCTGGGCTGATCCAACAGCCCAGGAAGTCATCTCCATGAACGTCCAGGACTACCTCCCATTCAGGGTGCATGTACGCATTGGATCGATGGCAGCTCTTGGAATCCTGCCCCTATCTTGATCTTGCTGATCTTCTCACCCCACATCTTGGAAGCCTCCCTGATTCCGTTCATTGCCTTGTTCAAAAGCCAAATCACATCATCATCCTCATACATACCACGAGGAGGGATGACTCCAATGCCACCGCTTGATTCTGCATGCTTGATTCTGCATGGCAAAATGCAACGGAGACATCATACCTCGCAATAAGCATGTCATAGTCTCTCCTGTTTGCTTTGTCAGTGGCCGCCAAAGCCACCAGCAATCGGTGAACCATGAGAGGTGGAGTGCCCTGCGACACATCCTCTCGCTTGTATGTGTTCAATTAATTCTTGTGCAACTAGCCTGCTTCGCGCAGCAGATCACCGTTAGTCTGCTTTTGGGTTTCCTGACCAGCTTCAGGCCCAATTCCTTGGCCCTCTGCCTGGTAGTGTCAGGTCTTGACATTGAACCGATCTATCAGTTCAAGTTGCTTGAGCTTTGTCAGGATCTACAGGAGGTCCAGTTCTCTCGTCATAAACCTCGTTGGCAATGACGTGCAGTGGGGTTGCTGCCACATGAAGAGTTGGTAAACCTCCAATCTGCTGTTCAGACATGGCATCTGTCCAACTTCAGCTTCTCCTACTGCGCTCCCAGCATTTGGATCAATCTCCTCAACACCAACTGAATTCTGTCGCTTCCTTGAACTGGATGAAGGCTCGTCCTGAGGCCCTTCAGGTTGCTGAGGCGGCGGCGGGCTTTGCAGAACCTACTGACTGACTCGCTTAACCTTGTTCTCTTCATCAATCAGCTTAGCGAACCGCTCCTTGCACTCTGCAGTGTGCGGGCTGCTATAACCGCCATATTCAGCATGACAACCCGGGCAATTCAATTTAGTGTCTGGCAATATTTGTATTGCCTGTCCACAGCGATGTAGACCTTGCTCCTGCTAGGGGTTTCAGGAGCGGGGCCTCCCGCACCCCAAGCCTCTCCATCTGCAGGCGCTGTCTGCGGTTGTGCAATGGCAGCAGGTTCTCTTGGCAAAAGATCAGATGATCAGCTTGCCGACCTCAGACACGGGATTCTTCCAGTGTACCACTTCTCCAAACTCTGTGACTTCGACTTTGTAAGCTCACAATGCTTTGACTGAAGCTTCAGGATCGCTCATGAGAATGGTCTTGTCATGGCCGCAAAATCTAAGCGCTTCCAATGCAGTTTCCTGAGCAAAAGGATCCGCTCCCTTAGCTACTGCAGCTGCCAAAACTGCACCAGTGTTGGAATCAGTACAAACCATGACAGGTTGAGCTCGTTCAGCTTCACTTCTCTTCTCAGGCTCCTTGCCCAAAGAAACAGTAGTCGACACAAACTCGTAGAGATCTGAAGGTGTCTCCTCATCCTGTGGCCTTCTCATATGCCAATCTTCTGTGACCTTGCCAGCCACACAGCTCGGGCACCATGATCTGAACGGAATATGGGTGAGCTGATGCTCATTCCACTTATTTTCTGAAACTGCTTGCGCCACCGGTGCGGCCCACGCACCAGGCGGTGCTTCCCGATATTAAGGCGGGTCTGCCCGCTCACCAGGCGGGGCTTCCCGCTCTTGGTCTCTTGGTGGCATCATCCCAGCTGGCACTTCTTTTCTTGCAGCACGGGCCCCAGCCACCAAAGTGGCTGGCTCTGCCCGGCACCGCCTTGTCCAACTCGAGCAAATACACCCCTTTGTCCTTGATCAGGTTGATCTTGGAATGATTACGCGTCGATCAGGCCCAATCACCAACCAACTCCCCTTCTCGCGCGTCTGTCCCATATGATAGGGTACTCTATGTTGGGGGATTCCATGTAGTTGATGGAAAACACATCTCCGGGTTCAGCAACAGATTCGACTGCATGATCTGCTTGGTCAAAACCCTCTCTCCAGTGACTGTCGTCATCCGGGCCAATGGGGCATTGCCGGGCTTTGCATCAGAGTCATAACCTTCTGGAAACAAATGGCTGCCACATCCCGTGTCCACCAAAACCATATTGTTCTTGAATGACACGTGTCCTGCAACTGTCTCCCTGTCAGCTAAAACCTCTCGTCCTCTCGCTCGCTGAGAACAGCACCTGTCGGCTTGTCCTTCTGGCCTGACACAGAAGCCGCGGTTCCACCCGCTGGCTTCTCAGCCTTCTTCAAATCTGCTTGACGTTTCCTGCAATCTGCCTTGGAATGGCCCATCTTATTGCAGTAAAAACATTCCATCTTCGACTTATCCTTGTCGCCCTTCTGCTCTGATTTTGCTTGATTCCCTTTTCCTTTGGAGTCGCCTTTGTCCTTGCCCTTGTTTTTCTGGCTTCCTTTGAGACCCTTGCCCTTGTTTGGCACCAACATCCATGGGTCGTGGACCCTCTGCAAGATACTTCTGAGTTCTGACAATGTCGTTGACCTCGTCCCGCATCCTCTTCCAAGTGTCCAACCGACTGGAATGTCTGACCGGATGTTCCTCAATTGAAAAATCTTCAATACGCAAATGAGGATACCAATCTTCAAATCATCACCCAGTGTCTTTCCAGATTGACTCTCGTACTCCCGGACACATCTTTCAAAAAGGGAAATAGCGGCTACAACATCTGGGCTGTTGAACTTGAAACTCAACAACTGTATCAGCAGTCCAACGTACCCTGATGTGATTGTAGGGCAGAACTCGTTGTGAAGAGTCTTATATGCAACCAGTCCCTCACCTGAACCAGAGCTGTACAGTATGTCCAAAGGTTTGTCCCTGCACAACATAGTGAGAACATAAAAGAACTGCGTGCTCAGCCCTTTTTCCACTTCTGACAGCGAGGCGTTCATGATCACTTCCGTCGGCTCCACTGTCCTTTGCAGAAGTGATTGAAATCTTAGTCCAAGGCGGTCATATAGGCCTCAAGGATAAATGCCCAATCCTGAAAATCATTGATATCGCCTTGAAAGATCTCGGGCTTCCCAAGCCCACGCGCATCCACCAAAGGAAGCAGACCCCCTGACACGGGAGTTGGCCTTGCCGCGGATCCTCCCGCTGGCTTGGCCATTGCCGCGCTGGGTCTGAAGCTGCTGATGTTTCTCATCTCAGTGGCAGCGTTCGACAGCTCCCGCTCATCTGGATCACCGTGTCCATCTCGCCACCTCCAGTGCCGGTCCCTGAGGTCGCCATAGCTGTCTGTAGGCTCTGGGGCTTTCTTCCCCGCCTTCTTTGCAGCTTTCCGCTCAGCCTTGTCAGACTTCTCAATCTCCTGCGGCCTCCGGCGAACAAGCGGAGGTCTTACGGCAGATTCCTCCTCCACAGGAACCTCTTCTTCTTCTTCTTGAGCAGCAGCCTCCTCAGCTTCCAATGCCGCGAGCTCCGCCTCCTGCCTGGCGATGATTCTTTGACGAACTGATTCTTCTCACCGAAAAACTCCGCGGTCGATCTTGACGCCCTCTATCAGCAACCAGCAGCTCCGCTACCATGAAACAGCGGACCGCTGTTTGTTCCCGCTTGGCACACAAGTGTCTATGTGCAAGCAATGCTGAGAGGGGTCTTGAGCCATGGCCATGTGTTCACACAACCACTTCACAAGGCTCATCACTAGCCCTTCAAACATGGTGTCAGCACTACTGCCTGCATGTACATCTGTGCACAACAAACAAGCTAGTATCCATGACAGTTTTTGCTCATCCTTCTAGCGCGGCACTTTGGGGGGGGGAAACTGGGCGTCAGCCCTTACATCAGAAAACTATAGCTATTGGGTACGATAGCCCCACGAGAAGCATCTGCTATTAATTTCCTCAGTCTGGCGTTCATATTTCGGCCCCGGAAACTTCTCAAGGCAAAGTGGCGACTCAAGAGATGACAAGGCGTACTGCTGCGGAAAAGGCCGGACTTGCGCACTTCATCAAAGGAGTCCGGGCGGCGCAAGCGATGCAATCCGCCGGAAGCAGGCCTGGCCATTGACCCCTCGGAAAGAATGCTTAAGAAATCTGCATCTGGAGCCAAAACGGAGAGGTCGGCGCACAAGCCACTTTCAAGTGTCACCTCGGTTTCCGCAAAGCGCTTGCCAAGACAAACGTCTCCTGCCCTGCGAAAATACAAACGCCAGTGCGCCACAAGGAGAAAGCGACACTTGCAAGACTTCATGGAATTAAAGCAGCGCCGAATGCAGCTTTGCTTCAATAGAAAGAGCAAAAGCTGTGCTCATACGATCCCATTGCCCCAGAGCGTTTTATCATTGCCCCCAGCTTGCGTGCCGTTTGCCTTTCCGAATCCCAACGGCGAACACCTCAGTTCAAACTCCAGCCGAACAAAACGCACGGGGCACCCCCATCACCTCTCTTGCTGCCCCCTCGAGCACATCCCACCAGGCCCGTGCCCGCCAAGCACAACGCAGAAAGCATGGTGGGCCGCAGCACATTTTTTCTTCTGCCAGGCTTCGGAGCCTCAGCGACTGCGACTTTGCAGGCTCCACGTTGCCATTTTGAGAATGCCAACGAACTGGAAGAAGGGATCCCAAGCAAAGGACCTACATCACTGGTGAGCTGGTTCTACCCCCAGAGCTTGCCAGAAAACCGGCATCTGTTGCGATGCCCGCCAAGAGCACCGCCCTCATTTCTCAAGGTCCAAATGGGAAAATGGGTAATTGTGTTCCTTCTCAGGGTTTAGCAGTAACACCCAGCATCCCAAAACCCACGTAGAATGCCTCGAGAGTGGGACGTGATGCCCCAGAGCTCAAAAAGGGATGGCTATGCGAAGGGTCGCAACACCCTCAAACCTGGGGCAAAACATGAAATGAATGTGCGCCAAAAGGTCCGCCCCGGTTGAAACGAAAGATATTTCGCTTGGCTTTCTTTTGGGGAAGCTCAGAAAATAGCCAGGCAGCGCACGCAAAACTAACTTGTCTGTCATGCCCTCGCACCACTCCCCATAGGATGGGTTCCTTGACGCAAAGATGCTGTCATGCCGTGTCCAGCAGCCCCGCTAAACTCAAGACACCCATGTGTGGCTCTTGCCTCTTGGCCAAAATCCCAACAACTTGGCTGGCAAAACACGTTGTGCAACCAAAAAGCTGGCTGCAGATCCAACTCACACTATACCTAACACCGTGTTTTGCCCCATGCAGTCCAAGGCGGGCACAGGCTCTGCACCCCGGCACGGAAGGGAGGGCCCGCCAGCATCGCAGTGCTCCAAGCCCTCCGAAGTCTGTCAAATGAGAAGCCACTCCGTGGATGGTTTCTCAAATGGCTTCCCGACCAAAGAGGACAGGGTACACTCAAAAACACGGCCACATCAGGGAGGGGATCCGGAGAGCACTTGTTTGGCGAAGTCCAACCTGCGGCTGACCAGACCGACAAAGGCTGAGCGGGGACTGCGTGGAACGCTTTTGAGGGGCGATGGCACCAATGCGCTCGAATCTCTTTTCTGAGCACCTGCTTCCGAGAAGAGAATGCATAGGGGATCCATCCGGAAGGGCGCGGGAGACCGTGGTTTATGGTGAGCCCACCTGCGACTTGGCCTTGAATTATGAATTCCTTAGGGTTCAGGAGCCGCAAGCAACTCTAAGATTTCAGCTCGCTATTTGTTGAAAATGGCTCGTTCAAGGGGTTCTATTGGGTTCTAACTTCAATTATTCAAATGCTACACATATTGCCCTTTTTCGGCGGTTCTTGATCAAAACGAGACCCGAGGGCCGACTGAAAGTACGCAAGCCGCTCAAGAGCCGAATATTCAGCATGGATAGGACCAGAGGGTTAAATTACTCGTCCATGCCATGCTCCAGGTTCATCGCCAAGGCACCCGATGGACAGCAAGTGCCAAAGCTTGCACACGAAGCGCACCTTCTCCTGGCAACGGGTTAAGCTTGCGGCTAGGTGTGCGTGGTGAAAAGAAGTGGAAGTGAGTAGGCTTCCCTTTCGGACACCCAACACCCTGACACTGCCGGTCAGCGGTTGCCAGCAGAGATCCCTTGATCTTCTGCAACCGCTCCTCGTCCAAAGGGAGTGGAAATTTGGGGAAGCTCCAAGAATATCTGCGCACATTCACCAAACCATGTCCCCGCAGCAAAGAAAAGTCAAGCACAGTTTCTTGGCCTCTCGCAAAATAGTTGGCATTTGTGAGCAATTAGTCATAACTTGTAACCACTCTGAAACTAGCGCCAGCTTATTTCAACCAATCTGACCTAAAAGGGACACCATGTGCATGCAACGCTTGCCATGCTTGCCCTCGCTTCTCCAGATGGGCCATTTTTGGCTTAGATGAAATCATTTGTAGCTGATTGTGTATATATATATGTGTGTGTGACTGGTCTGCTTCCCATCGTTGATCTGGTCGCTCCATGTACAGCTCCGGCTCGGACAGGGCGGGGAAGCCTTCGTGCTTGGATTTGCGGTTTGGAGGTTGGAGTGGCTACCCATGTGCAGGCCAAACCCTCAAACCACAAATCCAAATCACCAAGGTTGATCTGACTGCTATGGCTTGTGAAAAAACAGCAGAATCTGGTGGTGCTTTCGAATTTTCAGAACAAAACAAAAAAGAAAGACAGGAAAAACAAAACCAACATGACCAACTGTTGCTGGGTGTTAGCGTTTTCCCGTCATTGTTTTCCACTCTTTCTTGTGAACTATGCCACTGCCCGTCTCTGGTAGTTTTACAGAGGGGTTTAGGGTGAGTGTAGGATGGGCTTTGGGTAGGTGGTAGGTGACAGGTAGGCTTAGGGAGTTGTAGGGTTGGTTTGTTTAGGGGTTTGGGTAGTTTGGGGTTAAGCGCTTATAGGGGTTTAGGATGGAGTTTAGGGAGGGGGGTGTAGGGTGCGTTGGGGTTGGTTTCGGGTGGACTTAGGGCAGTTTAGGTTGAGGGCTGGAGTTTGGGTTGGTGGGCCAGTTGAGGATAAACAATTTCAGCGTGGATTGGGGTGTTTAGGGTTGAGTTTCGCTACGGGATTCAGAGTACTCTCAAGGTACGCTTCAAGTGTGTTTAATGCTTTGGTGAGCCTGAAGGTGGGGTTTAGGATGGGTTTGGGGAGGTCTGAGTTGGCGTAGGGTAAGCGCTTGCTTGCTTGCGTGCTTGCTTCCTTGCTTCCTTGCTTGCTTGCTTCCTTCCTCGCTTGCTTGCGTGCTTGCTTGCGTGCTTGCTTGCGTGCTTGCTTGCTTCCCCGCTTGCTTGCTTGCTTGCTCGCTTGCTTCCTTGCTTCCTTGTTTGCTTCCTTCCCTGCTTGCTTGCTTGCTTGCTTGCCTGCTGGCTTCCTTGCTTGCTTGCGTGCTTGCTTTTGCTTCCTTCCACTTGCTTGCGTGCTTGCTTGCTTGCTTCCTTGCTTGCTTCCTTCCCTGCTTGCTTGCTTGCTGGCTTCCTTGCTTGCTTGCTTCCTTGCTTGCTTTCTTCCCCGCTTGCTTGCGTGCTTGCTTCCTTCCCCGCTTGCTTGCGTGCTTGCTTGCTTTCTTCCTTGCTTGCTTCCTTCCCCGCTTGCTTGTGTGCTTGCTTGCGTGCTTGCTTGCTTGCTTCCTTGCTTCCTTGCTTGCTTCCTTCCTCGCTTGCTTGCTTCCTTCCCCACTTGCTTGCGTGCTTGCTTGCTTGCTTGCTTGCTTCCTTGCTTCCTTGCTTGTTTCCTTCCCTGCTTGCTTGCTTGCTGGCTTCCTTGCTTGCTTGCTTCCTTCCCCGCTTGCTTGCGTGCTTGCTTGCTTGCTTGTTCCCCGCTTGCTTGCGTGCTTGCTTGCGTGCTTGCTTGCTTGCTTCCTTCCTCGCTTGCTTGCGTGCTTGCTTGCTTGCTTCCTTGCTTCCTTGCTTGCTTCCTTCCCTGCTTGCTTGCTTGCTTGCTTGCTGGCTGGCTTCCTTGCACGCTTGCTTGCTTGGTTCCTTCCCCGCTTGCTTGCGTGTTTGCTTGCTTGCTTCCTTGCTTCTTTGCTTGCTTCCTTCCCTGCTTGCTTGCTGGCTTCCTTGCTTGCTTCCTTGCTTGCTCGCTTGCTTGATTGCTTCCTTCCCCGCTTGCTTGCGTGCTTGCTTGCTTCCTTCCCCGCTTGCTTGCGTGCTTGCTTGCTTGCGTGCTTGCTTGCTTGCGTGCTTGCTTGCTTCCTTCCCTGCTTGCTTGCTTGCTGGCTTCCTTGCTTGATTGCTTCCTTCGCTCGCTTGCTTGCTTCCTTGTGTGCTTCCTTCTTGATTGCTTGCTTGCTTGTTACGAATTGAGAGTGGCAAAAGCATGTAAAAAAGTGGAAAACCATCACGAGAAAAATACCTCAAGACAACTCAAGTCAATGGGAAACCATGTCTGTCTCTTAGAACAGATTTGAGTTTGAGGCCCATGGCACATGACCCTCCTATTCGCGACCCTCCTATTCGCGGTCTATGCGGCCGAAAATGCGATTCAGCAAGCGTCAGGGAAAGAGACTGGCGGATTGCGAGAACACGGCATTCACATTAAAACCGGCTACACACGAGCTCCAAGAATCTTGACAAGCTTTGCTCGCTTCGAACCATATGCACAAGAGGGGCCCTTTCGTCTATACCCCTTGTCCATACCCCTTCAAATCGTATTGCTCTGACTCCAGATCTGCGCCACTGGAAGCAGCTTTGCTGCTCACTACCCTCTCAAGGTAGCTTCTTTCTAAGATGTGGCAAGCGAGTTGCATCCTTCCACGTGTCTGTGTTGGATACGGTGTTTTTGACACTGCTGCCTACCTCTTAGCCCGAAAACTAACACACCCGACTTATTTAACAGAAATATGTTTTTTGGGACCACGATTTTGAGTTCCATGCCTTGCCACACATCTGCACATCTAATGGTTTTGGAGGGCTTTCGCAATTCACTATCGATTGCTTCCGGCCTGCCTCCCAATGGGTGTCCCAGGCTGGCGTT